TAAAGTTCTTTGAAGTGCATTACAAATGTGATTCAACAAAATCAATAAAATTATTAGACTGTACGACATTTATAAAATGCTTCCCTATACTTTCCCATATTTTAAAAATGTTGCATGTTCTCACTTGCTATCACCTTCGGAGTATACTTAAAATTGATTAACATTAATTTAAATGATAAATCGGATAGACAAGCTAACAGCATTTTTTAAAATTCAGTGAGTATAAGCACATTACCCTGACGCTTCCATTATGTTTTCCTTAGTGCAATCTGCTCCCCAATTTTCCCAATTTCCATCGAGCTGGCAGAATAGAGCACGTTAGAGTTGAAGTGCCTGGTCGTGAAATATCAAGGCAATCGATCTATATATCCCCCAGCAGAACTCCCCGACTTGCCCCTTTTGTGAGCTATATGTAGGGCATATTGTATCGAAGCTGCAGCTTAAGTGTGTGCGAAGGGAAAATTGGGAGGGGCGGAAAGTGGGAGGGATTCTATTTGTGTTTGCTTTGGTTTGGGTGTTGACTTTGACATTTGTTTTGTGTGGCTTATCCTTCAGATTCGCACAGGGCCCCCAGACCATCTGCCCATTCCCAATCCCATTCCTCCCAAGCCCATTCTCTCCTTTCAAGCCACCACAATGGGGCATCAATCGGCGCGCATTTTTTGCCGTCTATTTAGCCAAGTTTCGTTTTTCATTGTGTGGACTTTGTGGATGTAGCTACAATGGCTTTTAAATGGCCGCTCGTGTTTCGCTCAACGCCTGGGGCCCAAAGACCCAGACCCAGAGGCAGAACCAGATCTCGACTACTCCTATTTCATGGCTGCCTACTTTACGGCCAATAAAATCGCAACGCCTTGGGCGTCCCTCGTTCTGCTTATATAGTACATACATATCTCCTCAGGATCCGAAAGCCTCCCCTCTCTAAATCGCTTACAGTTCGCAGCCTGGCATATTTATCTATGGAACTCGAAATTGAAAAGCATTTTCCCCCTGTTCGTCCCCGCTTCTGGGGCAGATTTGCAGCGGAGAAGGCGAAAATTAAATATGTAAAAGTATAGCCAATGCATATAATATGAAATGGGGGGTCTTGGGGCTTTATTCATGTGATTTATTTGCCGGCTGTGTGACAAAATTGGACTGGGATTCCATTAACGGTTCAAGTGTGTCACTGCATTGATGGCTATGCTGTTGCGCTGATTATAATGTTCATTATGATGTATCCATCAACGTAAATCGCAACGTTAATCGGTCCGCCATTTATTTGCATTAAAATATTAAAACAGAGCCCGCCGACAATCCACTCGGTCAGGCACTTCAATGTTGATTTCCCTCCGTTGTTTTTCTATGGCGAAATTTGATGGGTGATTTTGTCAGTCAAGCACCTTGTCAACACAAATGGATTCACCGAATAAAAATTAACATAAAAGGGGCCAAACCCAGATGCGATATAAAAAATTTTAATGAAATTAAAATTGTGTTCCCTGAGCCAATGAAAAAACAGAAAAATCATCGGCGCTTCTCTGTATCTGCGTATATGTATGAGTGTCCAGTGAAGTGACGCAGGCAATTAAATAAAATGGATTTTATTTTCAAATATCAATTCCCTCTACGCTTTCAATGAACGAAAATACTATGGAATTGTGCGCGGAATTAATTGAAGCATTTTTGGAGGGGCTTGAATTTAGAAACATTGAATGTAGCAGAGACCAAATTCATAAAGTTTAAATTTTGGGAACTTTTTCATTAAATTGATGGTGGTGATGGTCAAGTAGCCAATATCATTCATATTGTTTTTCCACATGCTTTACATTTATTTTATTTATTTTTATAAACATTTATTTGATTTTGACATAATCAAAAAAATGAAACTAGAGGGATAAATGTCAATAACATTTTTACAGATTTAGATGCTTTTTAAAGCACATTTAAATATGATATACAATTTATTTTATATTTGAGTTAGTTATATTTCCTTTCTACAAGTTGTATGCAGTTTAAATGCAAAGCAATTAAAATGCAAAAAATGTTATTTTGTGTTTAATAGGAAAGACTTTCGTAAGGGGCAAGCCACAAATTCTTTGTAAATACAAAGACCCAAGCCACAAAACTTGTGGTAGACCAAAAACTCATTAAATTCAGGTAAATTAAATCAAGTCATTTTTAATTTGTGAAGGAAAAGAAAATATGGAGTCTCCACTGCTCTTAAAAACCATTCGGTGCATCTCAGGTGTGCTGATGATTGGGGCAGGTGGGGCAGGTGGGGCAGATGGGCTGGGGCAGCTGTGGGGGCGTGGCACTTTGCCAAGAGCAAATAAAAGGCGACACACTCGCCAAGGGAAAGACGGAGAAAAGGGAATTTGGTGAGTGCGTGTAAAACGAAAACTTTTGTTTATTAAATAAAAATAAATGCAAGTTAATTAATTAAAACTTTAAACAAGATAGAGCATGCGCGAAACTTTTCCCCTGTGTGGAGTAAGTTGAGTTGAAATTCTTGTAAAGTGTGTTAAGCTTAATTAGCTGCGCTGTTTTCTTAAACCGAAATCTCGAGCAGGATCTTTATTGATATTTCCCCTACTTACACTTTATGTTGCACTTTTATTTTGCTGCGAAATTTGGCAACATTTTGGCCACACAACCCAGAAACTCAGAACAGTCGAGGCCGTCCAATGCCAAGAGCAAGAATAGCGTCAGCTATATATGTAGAATGTGTATAGTTGAAGAGTACGCAGAGCTAAATTAAATTTAAAAAATGATTTTTATGACATTAACATTGGCATTTGGCTGCCGCTAATGTTCCCGCCGATGTGTCAGCCATTAACTGCACGATGGAAACATGGCAGAGATGTTCCGTAGATACAAATGCAGAGATACAGATACAGATACGCGGGGGTTCAGATACAAGACAGCTGCGTCCGGCGCATTTGGGGCTCCATAGCTCGTGCTTCCGTTGCCGGGACACTGTCATCGCTTGTCACTCATCCGCCAACCTTCTGCCTGGCCCAAAAGAGATTCCGTGTTTGCCGACAGACTCGCTGGGGAATATAAGTACACATATACCTATATATGCCCATATATACTTTCAGCCCTTTCACTCCCGCACTTGGAACAACCATTAATTAAATCAACTTTTAATCTATTTATACATAAAACTGAAGGAAATTCATTTTGCCACAAAATTAATTATACACCCACGCGCCTTCAAACCAGAGTGCTGCCGCCGGCCAGTGCAAAATTATAAATTAAAAAATTATAAAAATACAAAATCAAACACCCAAAGCACCACAGCCAACGCCTCTTTGATGAGCTGGGCATTCATAAAAAGAAATTGTATTTTATAAATAATATTTATTTTAGAGAGAGCACAATGTTTGCTTTTGTTGTTCGCCAATATTTATGTATGCTTAAATAATATTTTACATATACAACTTATTCACTTTTCCCCCTCTCCCCTTCGATTTCTTGCAGTTGCTCAACTTGGAAAAGCGCCAGGGCGTGGCCGGAAAAATCAACAACCCTTTGCGCCATATGGCTTGACTCACTGCGGCAACTTCAGCATTTCGAGACACTTTCATTTTCCTAATTAACAGTCTTGCAAACCGAGAAACTCAAGCCGATGCCTTAAATCCACAAGACCAAAAAATCCAAATCAACGAAAATTGTCGCAGGAAATGTGCAATAAATAAAAAAAAATAAAACCCCTACGCGAGTGACCAACGTATAAATTAGAGCTCGTGGCCACCAAAATTCGAGTGGCCAATTTGTTGTACGCCATTTGGCAACAACCACAGCTGCGGCCAACAACATCAAACATTCGGCCAAGATGCGAGCGCTGAAAGCGTGTGCGAACATGAAAATAAAACATCATCATCAGGAAATAAATTCGGGGAAAAATAAATATAAATATAAATACACATCGGAATGAATAAATATATAGACTAGCATATAGCCATATTCTATATTCTAAATGAGTGCGCTATTTGCCATCGAGGGGAGTGGCGGCAAAAAACGGCATAGGACATTTTACCATTTTCCCAACACTTAGCCAAAGACACCGACCAGAGCGGAAAATACACATCGAGATATAGACGTAGATATGGCGGCTGTATGCTAAAAGGCATTCGAAGAGAGTGACATTCTTTCGCCCAGCTGTTGTCATATAAATCATTGCTTTTATACAGGGTGTGGCACTGAGTTCAGAGCAGTTAAGATTGGGGCTTAAGATAGTAATCTTTATAAAGATGACCTCATTTAGAGGGTGATTTTTCGTTATGTTTCAATTCTTTGGAAAATAAATTTGATTCAATAACAGAATTGAAAAATGATAATCAAGTTGAAATGATATATAAAGTATTATTAAAATTAGAAAATTTGTTGAAGGTTTATATAAGTTAAAACTATTAAATTTGAATTCCTGAGATATTAAATTTAGCTAGCCGAGTCGAAATGTATAATAAAATATTCTTACAACTAGGAAAGTTAAAGCTAAAACTCCAAAATTTTAATAATTTTTGAAAAAGTCAGGAATATATTTTGTGAACAACAATTAATTACAATAAAGATATAAACAGTTATTAAACTTTGATGTTTACTATACCAAACTCACTGTCAAAAATCTTAAAACTCCAATAAGAACAGTAGTACAAAATTTCCGTATACAAAAAAAATACCATATAGTTTTTAAAAAATCCTATGACTCTACAAGACCGTATGCCTCATATTTTTATACCGCAATCTGTGATTTATAATAATACCAAAATAACGCACCCTGTTCCGTTCGCATAAAAGTCCGCGAAACACGCACGACAACAACAACTCAACTTCTGCGTCAGTAAATAAACAAATATTGACTCAAATCGATACAAATGCCAGCGGCAACAACTAGATAATGTACAAAAGTGATTATAATCGGGGCAACAAAAAACAAAAACATTTTCCATGCTCTTAATAATGTTTTTTTTCTGTTTCAATCTTTTTTTTCGGATCCACCATTGATGGCACAGTTCCAGGAGGCAAAACATCGAACAACAATATCTGAATTAGTGGAAGCAGAGCTAAATAACCAACCAACCACTTGGCCGAAACCAACTAAAAATAATTTAAAGCCCAAGAAATGTTAAAAATAAAACCAAAAGAAATCAACGAATATTTTTTTCGGCGGCAACACAAGGCGGCGGCAGCCGTGGCCGTAAGGGCAAAAAATATGAACAGAATTAAGAGGCAGCCGCTTGGAGCTAGAAGAAAAACCAATCAGCGTGGAGGAGCAAATACGATTTTTTTACACAAAAAAATAGAAGAAAAATAGAAGCCGCACAGCAGCAGCAGCAGTAAATAGCCAGAAATTGTCGTCGTCGTCTGTCGTCCAGCCGAGGTAGCCTCCATCAGCAGAGCGGCGGAAAAGCGGCGGAAAATCAACGGAAAAGCGAGGCCATCAAGAGCGTGTGGGCGGCGTTGGCTGGCAAGGACAGCCGTTGGTCTTTGACGTTGAGAGCCGAAAGCCGAAAGCTGAAAGCTGAACGCTGCAAACTGAACGCTGCAAACTGAGCACTGAAAACTGAAAACTGAGGCAGCTGTAGCGGTAGCGGCGACGTTGTCGTGGCCACACGGTCGTCCACGGGCCACTTTCGCGAATCAATTTCCGTTGCGGTGGCCGTTTCAGTTTTGGTTTCAACGTCGCCGGCGCTACGCGTGTCGTGAATTTCCAATGGCGGTCCTCCACCCAACGGGTGTATCAATTTAGAAGTGCGAAGAGATAATACACACCTACGCCAAAACAGTGTTAACCAAAATAAAGAGAGAGAGTGAGCTATCAAGCCAAAGAAGTAATATTAATAGGCAAAAATTAAACAAGACACCGGGACTCGATGTTGTTGTGCCCCCAATCCGAACTTGGCCCGGAGCCACCGCGGCAAGGCATCGCAGCAGTGCGGCCAGGATACGCAAAAGAGCGAAATGCTGCTGCGGCAGCCAGGAGGAACAGAAGGTGGAGCAGGCGGAGCAGGAGGAGGAGCAGTCGGGAGTTAGCCCCAGCCATAGCCCCATCCCTAGTTATAGCCAAAGTCTGACGAGCCTGGCGAGGATCACGGCGGCAGCCTGGCCGCGGCGGCCATGCTGCACACAACGAACGCCCTGGCCACCGGCTCATCCACATCCTTATCCCCATCCTCCGCCGGAACAGCACTGCCATCCTCGCTGGGCACTGCCACGCCCACCACACACGAACTGAATGCCACCCAGCTGGGCGGCACGTTGGGTCTGAATCTCAGCGAGAGCGGCGGTGCAGGTTCGAATGGCCTCCACACCCACGCCGCCGACGAGGATTGGCTGGACAACATCGTCTGGGTGTTCAAGGCCTTCGTCATGCTGCTCATCATCATTGCGGCCATCTGCGGCAATCTGCTTGTTATTATTTCTGTGATGCGTGTTAGAAAATTAAGGTGCGTATACGTGATATTTTTTAGCTGCCTCACCTGAGCCCTTAATAATTAGCTGTGAAAAGGCAATTAGAAGTGCTCGAGCTGCGTGTAATTCCCTCGAAATTTGCATGAAGCGTTTGGTGGACCAGCGGCATTGTCCTCCGGCGGGCTTGATTGCCAATTTGCGAGTTACGAAAAAATTACAAAGCGCACAGCTTTCTGCACTCGAAAAGATTTCGTCCTGAATATTAGACGTTTTGGAGTGAATAAGGATTTTCCTATAAATTATTAAAGTACTACCGTACTCCTAAAGAACATTTATCTTAAACTATAACTAAAGACCTTACACACTTGCTGGTTGTTTGACTAACTAATTGGGGCAAACTAAACATGATTTTAAAAATAATTCATAAAATTGTATTAAGCCATAGACGCTTTTTTTTCTAAATGTTCACGAATTTTAAAATAAATCCATTCAGTTATTAAAAATCAGTCAATTGTCATAACCAAAAAGGCTTCGCCCTGATATATATTGAAATTTTTAAGCAATGGCGATATTTAGTATAAACTACAAAAATCATATACTTCTAAAGAACATTTTAATAAAAAATGCAAATTTACTTATGGCATTTACTTGGTTTTTAAATAACTAAATGGTTTTCATAAATGTGGTCAAGCTATGACGACTTCTTAAATCAATCCAGTCAGTTCGTCAAAACCAAGCAAGTGTCATATCCCTTAAATGAAACTGTATTTTCTAAAATTAAAAAAAGAGTTACCTCCAAATATCTAAAATTCAGCTCGAATATTTTGTAGTGTACTCTAGCGATTTTCGTCAACTTTGCATAAAATTCATGCACGTCCGCACCGCCCCCTCCCTTTTATCCCTTAAACGTGCTGCAGGACCTCCTTTTTGTGCTCGCTTTGCTCTGTCATTGCGCGTCCTTGCTGACTCCTTGTCCCTTATTTACCCGCCTCATAATTGAGCATCTCAGTCCTGTTTTATCCTTCGTTTCGGCATGAGACTGCAGTATTTACTTCCACCATTTAGCGGAGGAGGCGGCCGCAACAAAAGAACGAACAGAGATGCATTATTTTAATGACAAATTAACTTTCACGACATTGTTCATGAATCCAATTTGCATATTAAGAGATTCTTAATTGGACGCTGGGGTAATGATTTAATTTCCCAGAATTCGTTCTCCATCAACCTAAGGTTTGCCCTTAACAGCAGCATAATTTAAGTGGAAATTTAACTAGCCATAAATATTTGTTGGGCCAATCAAAACAGGTCTTTGGTTTCAGTTCTGGAATTTATTGCTCTATTTAGGGATACCCATATCTGGATTTAATGGACTAATAAGCAAATCAATTTTCATATTCAAAATTTCGTATACATTTCCGACCAAAAACACACACACATTTGGGGCGACCTCGTTAACTAACGATGGGCGGGTTCTGTGGGCGGTGTCCTTCGACGAAAATCACATTATCATAGGAAAAAAACTTTTCTAGTGATAAATGATGGGACGTCAGCTGGCCTGGGTTCGTTAATATTTTTAGTTATGCCTTAATAACCGGCAGGCAAATCAATTTAGCGCTTCATAAAGCCGACGCAATCAAAAGTTCTCTTCTGACTGACAAACGTTAAGTTATTTTCCTCCATTTTTTCGCCGCTAAGCTTTGTACGCAGAATTATTTTACCCATCAGAGGAAAAACTTTAAATGCTCTTAGCCAAAGTTGGCGAAGGGCAATGAAGCCAAAAGGCGAAACAAACAAACTTGGCTAGATGGCACAGAAAAAAGAGGCAGAAAAAATGTTTAATGAAAAAAAAGAAGGGCCAAGGCATAATTAAGGTAGAACCCCGCTTAATTTCTCTTTTTGCCTTTGCTGCTAATGAGAAGCATTTTATTTTTTAAGTGACTTGCGTGTTGCTGGATTTCAAGCCAGGCCAAACTAATGATGATGCCGATGGATGATCATCAAGATAATTTGGTTGCACTGATAAGAAAGTTGGAAAAAGTAGGGGTTCGAGGCCCTAAGGCCAAAGGATTATCATGATTTTTTTTAGATTTTAATATTAGCCTTCAAAGAAAGTTGCTTTTTTGAGAAGGCCCTTTTAATTCCTTTCTTTATCATTAAAAACACAATATTTTATTGAACAAAAAATGTAAATCTCTTTTAAATCCCGTATTAACCGAGTAGGGTGTTATTCCATGATGCTACATTTTTTTAATGGCAACATAAATTACAATGTGCTTATAATAAGTTCTGAAGATGCGCAATTAATTAAGACTATGACATAAGGTAATTAAAGCACACAAAAACCAAACTGGGTAATCTTTTTTTGCGTGGTCAGCTTGCTGCGCAGAATTCTATTGTTCTGAGCGGCAAATATTACGCATACGTAGCGTGAAACAAGGCAATGGAAATAAAATGTGGAAAAGTTTACAAGCAGAAAAAAAGCACACCCAGCCAGAAAAGAAATGACAATTAAACACTGCGAGCGTGTAGCTCAAAGAGAAATGGAACAAAAACAAAATGCATGCTCAACACGAGGGTGGGCGGTGAAAGGTGGGTGGGGAAATGGGGAGAAAGGGGAGAAAGTGGCTGCCGCGGGAAAGAACAAGCACAAAAACAACACACACACAGCGCGGCTACAACTTTGGCAATTAAGGCAGCTTATGGTTTTTATGACAGCATAAATTTAAAATGTTCTATGCCAAACAATAAAATTCCGCTTTCTTCCCTCCGCCCAAATTATTTGGCTGAGATGAGCCGCAGCCAAGAGCTCTCTAGATATATAGAGTGTATAAGCAGATATATCTAGACAATCTGGGGAAATATATGTGTGCTTTAATTTGCCATTACAGCGGGTGGGAAAATGAGGGGGAAACTGGGGCTCATTAACGCAGCGCCTTCGCTTGAAGGATGCTCGGCAACTGCTTCCGCCTTTCACTTTACCCTCCACTAAAACGGGCTGCTTTTTCCTATTTTTCTCAAATTTAAATGGCAGGCAAATTATCTGCAGTTCAAATGGGTGGGTGAGGGGAGAAAGTAGGGAGCCCCTGAGTAATGGCGAAACATTCTCAGAATGGCGTCGATTTGTTGCAATTAACGTCTCGGGCGTTGAAAGTTATTTAAGTAGTAGCCGGAAGCAAAACAGATTACCATGCCCAGACTTTCAACTTGAAACTGAGTACAATAGCCCCTAGAGATGAGATTAATGTAACTTAAAAGCTACAATGGATGGAATGATAAGGGGATTGTTACTTTTGTAATTCCTGAGAGTTAAAACACATGTTCATAAGGCGCACAGAAATCCATTTAAAAATATTTATGTCTAAGAATAACCTTTTTAAATCTGAATCCGAATTATTACCTCAAAAATCTTATCAAAATTGAATGGAATCCAGTATGCCCCTATATTAACATAATCGAGCCAAATTTTTCCAGTGCAGTAAATGCTCACTTTTGATTGCGAACTTTTCCCATTTGGCTTGGTGAGAATGGCAAATGAAAGGCGGCCGCCTGGAGTTCAATGAGGTAGCTGCACTCATCCGATTAGAAAGTCCTTGGCCAGCAACTAGTGCAAAACTCTAATTGGCAAAAGCATTTGCCAGCACTCTGGCTGGAATTCAATTTAAATAACAAAATAGGTACAAACTGGGAGGGTTTCGACCAGGGGATTGCGGTTTGCACTGGGGTTTGAATCCCCCCCCCCCGCCATTCCTACATTCCCGATGTTTACCCATATATGTATATGGTACGTATATCTGATTTTCGTTTGGGTATCGGCTAACCCCCGAGGGGGAAATCGTTCGATTCTTGGCTAGCTTTTCAATTATACCCCTGCTGGCAGCAGAATGCAGCGGGGTCCAGGCTGTCAGCTCGCACAAAAGAAGTCCCCATCGACCATCACGCACCCACTCATACGTTATATCCTGATTAGCCCCCACGGGGGCTACAAAGGACCCCTCTTTCCCATATGTTATTGTCCTCTGATTGCTAACATCTCGTTTTCTCCCTCCTTCTCTTTGCAGAGTTATAACGAATTACTTTGTAGTTTCCTTAGCCATGGCTGATATAATGGTCGCTATTATGGCCATGACATTTAACTTTAGTGTGCAAGTAACTGGGAGGTAAGTACAACAACAAACAGCTAAAAATACAAAAAAAAAATGCAGAAAAAACACAGAAAAAACCCCACCCACAAAGCCTAAGCAGAGCAACAAAAGCGGGCAAAACTGTTGCGAAATTACAGCTGCAACCAAAGGCTGGGCCCAAACAAAATGCCAGCCCATCCAAGGTGGTCGGGTGGTTTTGGGGGCGGCGAGGGCCTCGACGTGGGCGTGGCAGTTGCAGAACAAACAACCAAAAACAAAAATCCCTGAAAAATGAAAGCAACGTTTATTTATGCTCCTGTGAATGTCCCTGTCTGTGTGCGTACCCACACACATACATATACACCCACTTTCTCTCACGGATTCGGTTGGTTGTGCGAGGGAAATGCAAATGCAAAAAGTCATCTTTTTGTGCTCATGTGCGTGCATTTGTGTTCAAGAATTAAAATGTGAAAAATAGAACAAACAGAAATGCATTCGTTCGAGAACACGATTGCCGGATACCCAGTTCACTTTTCGGAATTTTAACTACTTGCTGGAATTTAAGCTGGGGAAAAGTTGGAATTTCTTAAGCACTTTTGAACTTAAAGACTTCTTATTTAAGTATTTCAAATATTTTAAAAATATTAGAATTTTGACTTGGGCTTATAAGCCCTTATTTTCACTTTTATTAACAGGGTTTACAGGAAATTTGTTTAACTGTTTAGTATTTGATTAAAATTGAAAAGTATCCTATCAGTAGTAAAATTTAATTAAAAAAGAATTTTTTTTGCCACAAAAACTATAGAATTTTTGTAAGTTCTTAAGTTTTCCCACTAAATCCACATGTGCTCAATTTTGATAAAGATTTTACAACTTTTAATGTTTTAGTTTGCAAGAAAGTTACATTATTTTTGAAAGCTTTAAGGTCTATTCTAACCAAAAAAAATTAAAAACTAATTTTAGAAAAGTATGTTTTAAAACTTATTTAAGCAACTATTTAGGAAACCTATAAAATTTAATTTTGATTAAGGTTTTAGGATTTGTAAGACCCGAAACACCCCAAGTAACTCAAACAAGTGAGAAGTAGCAACTGAGAGGGAAACGAGAACTTTGAAAAGCTATTCCAAAGGACAAAACCGTCAGAGTGTGACATGGTCACATCCTTCACGCCGAACGTCCGGCGGTCCGACTCCTTCTATATGGGCTTCTATATGGGTAATGCGATATGTGGCTATGGGTATATATGTGCCATGCCAAGTGCAGCCGACTGAGCCCAGTTAATTATGCATGGAGGCTGGCTTAAAGGCCGCGCTTTAAGCCCAACTTCGGCGGCAAGGGACCAATGTAAATGTTTACAATGTCACTGCCGGCGACAACGAGATGATGATTGTGATGATGACGATGGTGGTGACGATGAAGTGGGGGATCTGCCGCCCATTCAAGTCACATTATGTGCACTTACTGCCAGGCCAAAAAACTTCAGCACCGCGAGTTGCATATAAATTGGCATCGAGCAGCGTGCTTTCTGGCAACAGGAACCTCTTACCACCGTTCATTAGCCATTTCACCTTCACAGTTGCTGGTTGCATAATTGCAGTTGCAAGTGCCGTCGCCATTTCGGGGCTTAAGCGTCAAAACCAATGGCGCCATCATCTCCATCCCCATTCCCATTCCCCCCGAAGGAAACCCAAGTGCAAAACCCCAAAAACGCCAACGAGCAGGGTGGCGGGCAAAAACAGCCTCGTTGGATAGTCGAAAAGTTTCTGAAACTGATGCCAAGCGGGGCGCCCCGATAATAAATTCCACTGCCTCCTGGCCAAAAAGTCTGGGGAGCCGCCTCCACCAAAGCGGCCAAAACGGAGTGGCAACCAAGGGCGACGGCGACAGGGAAAAGCGGCGCAAGTTTTAATGAGTTTTTCATGCAGCCCAGTCGCCGCTTTTCCTGGCCCTCTTCTTTGCCAGCCTTATGGCCTATTTTCTGGTCTCACAGTGCATTTAAGCTTTTAATTTGGCCCTCCACGGAGGCAGTTCAGGGGCAATGTCACCTGGCAACCGAAACTAAGATGAAATCGATAAACACATAAATCAGACGGGCTGATAACGAAGTGGGGAAAAATAGACTGTGGGGGCATTTACTGACTTGTCTAGGCAGCTTGAGTTTTTTACTGGCCTACTTTCCGGAATTGGCAGTTAAATGCCGTTTAAATTTAGACCCAAATTCATGTTTTTCACTTTTTTATGGCCTGTGTCTTTTAGTTTCAAATGGTAATAAACATTAAATCAAGCCGAATTTTTATTTGGGTGCTTTTTTAAGTTTTTAAAGTCCATAAACATTTTTTCCAGACTAGGCTTTTTTTTTACTGTTTTTAAAACAAGCTAATTGTCAAATAATTGTTGGTTCTGCAGCCAATTTTGATGCTCTTTTTTTATGGGCTACTGAAATTCTCCGAATGTATACTTGTTTTTGTCAGTAAAGGGGTTTTACTGAAAGGGATTTCAACGTGAAAACTAAATTCACAGAAAAAAAAACTGGAATTCGGTTTATGGCGATGACTTCATGAAAGTACACACTTTGCAAAGCAGTTAAAAGGCCAGGCAAAAACAGAAATGAATCATCAGAAATGGAAACTGCAGATTCATGCATTCGATAATCAGATACAATGAAAACACAAAAGCTGAGGCCTAAAGTTTATTGCCTCGTTATTGGGTAATCATCGCGATATTGATGTTTCCATTCATTAAACTCTTTCAGCTGGAAGTTCAGCCCTTCCTGTGCGATTTGTGGAACAGCCTCGATGTGTACTTCTCAACAGCGAGTATTTTGCATTTATGCTGCATATCCGTGGATAGGTAAGCCCCCCCCCCCTTCCTGAAGCATATGTAGCACCAATAACCTGGTACTTTTGCCTCTTCCACCAGATACTATGCGATTGTTAAGCCGCTGAAGTATCCGATTAGCATGACGAAACGCGTGGTCGGCATTATGCTGCTGAACACGTGGATATCGCCGGCACTGCTCTCGTTCTTGCCCATCTTCATCGGCTGGTACACCACCCCGGCGCACAAGCTCTTCGTCCTGGAGCACCCGGATCAGTGCTCCTTCGTGGTGAACAAGTACTACGCCGTCATCTCGAGCTCCATTTCGTTCTGGATCCCCTGCACCATCATGATATTCACCTACCTGGCCATCTTCCGCGAGGCCAACCGCCAGGAGAAGCAGCTGATGATGCGCCACGGCAACGCGATGCTGATGCACCGCCCCTCCATGCAGCCCTCGGGTGAGTTTTATTGATTTATAACTGAGGTGTTGAATTTGGCAAGGTAGAAAATAAGATGGTATCGAAAGGAATGGGAGTGACTAGAAATGTCTTTTCTAGAGGGGGCTCACATCCATTATCTTCAAATAACCAATACAAAGTCAAACGCTTCCTGAAATCATATTTTCTTTATATTGTATCATACTAAGGGTACTATAGATTTTAAGGTACAGTATGACAAATACTAATTCTGGCTGAAAAGTTGCAAAGTCAAAAAGCAATTTAATTGAAATGCTTTTTAAAATATGTACATATAATTTAATATGGGGATGCCACATATCAGAAATTTATTTCTTGCGGTCTTATGACACTTGTTTTTTTTAACTGACTGTACTTATTTTGGAAAATCATCATATATTAAATCAAATCGTATATGTTAACGAAAACGCTATAGTTAGACATGATATTTTAAAGAAATGTAGTCAATTAGTTGAAAAGCAGGTGTCATATGTCCATAAGTATACATATTTTCTTTGAATAAAGGGAATTTTCTCTACCTTCTTATGAAATATATGGCTATTTATACTAACATGGGGATACCAATTAAAAAGTAGTATAAATAATGTTCCTAATGGTTAAAAACGAATTTTAATCCCAATGAGGGCATTGTGCGGCTGGTTTGATTGATAAGTAGCCACCAAAGTGATGCACTGCGAGTGCACAAAGTTCTGTGGCCTTTCTCACGGCGGGACATTTATCACATCTCCACTTGATCTCCTCCGGCAGGCGAGGCGCTGAGCGGATCCGGGTCGTCGAAAACATTGACGCTGCACGAGGTCGAGCAGGAGCACACGCCCACTAAGGACAAGCACTTAATCAAAATGAAGCGGGAGCACAAGGCCGCCCGCACGCTGGGCATCATCATGGGCACCTTCATCCTCTGCTGGCTGCCATTCTTCCTGTGGTGAGTACCGTCTACCATCTGCCGTCTACCGACTGCCTAATGCCGTCGAACGTTGAACGGCAATCCCGCTGACATGGGATTTGGGGCATAATTTATCTAATGTCACGCATGCATAATTAAATATTACTCATACGGCCCGTGCGCCATTGGTTCGGCGGTCGTTGTTTTTCGCACCGCCCCAAATATAATCTCATTTATGCAAAGCCCAGGCACTCATGCATCTGGAATTTATGTGTACATATTTCATCTTGATTCCATACACGGGAAAAAAGTGATGCAAACTGATTTTAAATGAAGATCGAATGGAAAACGTGTCCTTTTTAAATAAAACCTTATCTTGACATGATTGGATGTTGCATGCTTTTTTAATGTCTATAACAATATGAGAAAATAATATAAGATTCCAAATTATTTAAGAGTTTAAAAGAGATTGAATCATAATTTATTAGAGGTACGATAGATAATTTATTTAAACAGCACTGGCATAAAAACTAATATTTAATTTAAATATTTTTTGCTGTTAAATGATTTGGATTATTGAAATATTATACTGAACATTTATTAATTTAAAGTGTTAAAACTCTGAATTAAATACTTAAATATTTTTTAAACGACGTAAAAATTTAAAGTAAATATATTTACATCGTGTCTTAATATGTTTTACATCCACTCAAATATCTTTAGTCTGTTACATTTTTTATTGTTTTTCTACCATTTACTGCATAAAAATGTGATTTTCCATGGAATACATTTGAATATACTTTTATGGCACATCTGACCGTTCATCTTTGCTATTCCAGGTACACGCTCTCCATGACCTGCGAGGTTTGCCAGGTGCCGGACATCGTCGTGTCGATCCTGTTCTGGATCGGGTACTTCAACTCGACGCTGAACCCGCTGATCTACGCGTACTTCAACCGCGACTTCCGGGAGGCGTTCCGCAACACGCTGCTCTGCCTGTTCTGCAACTGGTGGAAGGACCGCCACCTGCCGCTGGACATCGACATCCGGCGCTCCAGCCTGCGCTACGACCAGCGGGCGAAGAGCGTCTACTCGGAGAGCTACCTCAACTCGACGACGCCCTCGCACCGCCGCCAGTCGCAGATGGTGGACAACTTATAATACAGGGACGAGGCGCTGCTGACCCCCATCGCCCAGCAGCAGCAGCGGCTGGCGGCTGGCGGCTCCCGCCTGGGCGGACAACTGGCAGTGGCCAACAGCGATCCGCATCCGAATCCCAATCCGAGCAGGCCCAAGTCCAAGGCTGTGGACCACCTGGCTGGCGAGGGCGACGATGTGCAGGAGATCCAGATCGAAATACCCATGGAGTACATCAACAAATGGAACAAGAACAACAATGCTGCCGCCTCGACGGCCTCCAGTCATGTGTAAAGTGGATGCAGCACGGCAATGGGAAATGGGATTGGGGATGGGGGAGTGGGAATCAATCGATGGCAGGGGCAGCCGGGGGAGGAATCAATTTAATGCAATTAAAATGTTCCATTAATTTGTAAAATTAATATGCCGGCTCATGCGTCGGCTGATTTACTCGTAATGTTGACATTAATCAATCATGCGTTGGAGCGTGCCATTTCACTTGGCCGCCACTGTGCACTTCTCAGTTTTGTTTTCATACGTTTTTTTTCTCAGTTTCCTTGAAGCACAGTTCGGCGTCCTATAGATGGGATAACTTATTTATTTATGATTTCGTGTCGTTTAAATCTTGTTGTAAATACTGAGTATTTTTGTACGACTAAATTAAGCACAGGTTGTAAAATCGTTTATATATATATATATGTATGTACGCCAATTGAAAATCTGTAAGCCGTAAAGCATTTTGCTCACGAAAAGAAATAACCAAAAATAAATTAATTGAAAAGGCAATCACTGCAACTCACGGAGCTATGCTATGTGTACATAGGGATTCGCTAAAAAACAAAGAGCTAGAGCTAAAACTGTGCCAATTAAGAGATCGAAAATTATAGAGAAGAGTTTTCCCCAGCGCGAAAAATCAACCACACCCCAACGCTATTAAAGTCAGAGAAATTTAGAAAAGAAACCCAACAAATTGAAATTCACGGAAGCTAAAGCAAAGCTAAAACAAAGCTAAAACCCAATTGTTATTTGAACGACAATCGCATGAATTGAAAATGCTCAAAACCTAAAGTAAACCTTAAAACGTATATCAAGTAAACATAGCGAAAATATATAGTCAAGTCAATATAGGATCCAGGCGTTCGGTCGAAACCAAAGCTAAAGCCCACATAAATTAACCAAAACATATAGTGCATCGATATCGGACTAACCAAATTACGTGTGCGTGTGTGCGTGTTTGTTTGTTTGTGTAGTGCGGGAATTGAATTCCAAGACCGTTTCCGTTTCCGTTTCAAAAAGTCAAGTGCTAAGTGCGACATACAATAGGTAATTGCGTTGCAGTTCCTGGAATTAAGTTGACTGTGTAGCCTGTGAGGGCAAGGCTTGAGTACTGCTTCCGAAGTCAGCAACTTGATTCCAGCAATTGCGGCCCGATATTCCGCAACAAAGAAAGCCCGTGAAAAGCCCAAGGAGTACCGGAACCCCACTGAATTTCGACTATGAAAAGCATTGGAAATGCAAATAAGGCGTATACAGCAAATAAGCAGACAAAGCATTTTGTGTTTCTTTGTATAAATAACTAACGACCCCATAAAATGTTAGCAACAGTTTGCGAAACTTACCGATTTATGATTTTCTCTTAATCCGCAAGCCAAGCACAAAGTCAAGAACATTTGTTGAGTAAATAGATTCATAAAAAGCCGTAGAAACTTTTCGTTGGTGATTTTCCGAGCTAGTCTGAAGTAAAAGAGAAACAATACGGTTGCCACGATGGAATAAAATGGATTAGGAGCCAAAGCTCAGTATGTACCATATAAAGTGTGTATAAATAGGTGTCTAAATAAATGTTATATTTATAGTAAGTATTTATTACATGACTTTCCTTAAAAAGATGAAGTAAAACGACAGGCAAATCCCCAAAGAACTTGTTATATTTTTATAAACTACAGAACCCGAAACCAACAATGTATGTGTAATTCAAGTTTGTATATTGACATGTCTGTGTAAACGTGTGTGCGAGTTATTTATTATTATTATTATTATTATTCTTACTGACAACCGAACTTTCTGTTGCATTGTTTTGCGTTTTGCTGTGCAATTACCCATGCAAAACCAAATAGGATCCTAACATTAAGCCCCGAGTGGGGAGACACGTAAACGGCAAACTAAGCTACTAACTAAGTGAATACGAAATTCAGATGTATTATAGAGCAACATAACGAACTTCAAGTTGGAAAACAAGCAGAAAAGCAAAATAAATTTAAAAACTACAAATATAGCCAAACGAATTGTTTTTCATTCGCAACCCAACCGAACCCAACCCAAAACCCCCTGGCCAACTGATTACCAAAGACAAAGTTCTGGCCAAACTAAAGGGAAAAGTAAATAAAGCCGGAGACCCAAATTACCCAGTCCGCATCGAAGTACATTAACAGCATATTATCAGGACAAAAGTAAAGCTGATTACTGCCGGCGACAGTTGTAAACTTCTAAATAACTGTCAGGTCTCGACTCCGGCTGACAAATTACAAATTTGTTCGAAAGCCCCGTGGCAACGTGGGCGCCCGGCACACGCGTCGAATGAGTGATTTTTATTTGGCAAATGCGTGTGTAATTTAACCGGCGTCATGGCAATGATATAACGCACCCTTACAAGGCCCAACCCGCTGCTTTCGGAAAAGTAATTTATCATGGGACCCGCCTCCGAAGAGGGCAGATCAGTTAGAACGCTTTAAATACCTGAACAAGCGTTCCACGGCACCTGTAAGCCAAAGTTTTCGCCATTTCGTAGGTCTTCATATATTAAATTTATTTAGCAAGAGGCGACACACACCGCATCGCAAAGTTGCCCTGCACAAGTTAAAACCCACACCTTTCTTTACAGCCGGCGAAAACTTTTTCAGCATTTAAAAACTCATAAAGGAAAAAATGTAGTCTTGTGGACTGTTTTACATTCAAATGCGATAAAAAGTTGCACAGGAAAAAAATAATCCTATACATTGATCGATTGACTATTTATTCTATCCAATTAACAAAATTGGGCTTAACCTATTCAAAGAAAATAAGTTAATAGCTTTAACACGAGTTTGAAAAAACATTAAACTATTAAATTCAAACTAGGAATACCCTTTAAGAGGGTATTTAAGTGATGTTACCAAAGCTTTTTAATGTCTTTTGTGTACCAAGAACAATTATTATTTTTATAAATAACCAGTTGGCATAGAGTTTTGATTTTATTTTACTCGATTTTATTTATTATTTTAATTAATTATTTGTTGTTTCTGACAACTATTACCTGCCATCTGCAGTAATTAAAGTTTTGCCTAGGCAAGCAAGGGTATATAAATTCTTGCTTTTACGTGACATTATCCAGCAAAAAATACACCCATATTTTATTACGATATATTTACTTTAATCAAATAAATTTTTATTGCATTTTTTGTGTGCAGCTGCATCAGCAAACGTAAATTCAAATATTTTCTTTGATATAATAAACATTGACATAATGGCGGGTAAATTAATTCTGCCTTGCTGGTGAGTCAAATTAAATACATTTGCTTAACCGTTTTTTTGCATCAATCAATTTTAAAGTGTTAGCAATGGTTGGATAGGTGGCATATTTTAATGACATAATTTAAAGGCCTTTCAAGTGCTGGAAATGATTATTTTAAATTGGGCTGCCTGAACCGCTGTGTAGATGGCATAATAAATGCGAGGCAAATCAAACTCCATTCATCAAAGTCAGCCATGGTCGCCTAGATTGCACCCATCTTCCCGGCTCCCTGGTTTATGGCTAAGTGAGTGATGCACGATGGCATCGGGGCAATCATCGCTCATAAGGCCGCCAATTTGGCCTTGACAAGTGATAGACACGCGCTTCTTGGCCCAAAAGGAGCAGAGGGCACCCAGCCAATGATGGGTGCCTTATTGCTCATCAACATTTCAACTTTCTGCTTTCACATTTCAATATTTAAAGGAGACAATAGAGGGCACCTTATCAGACAGTCCGTCAATCGGGGCGTCACTTAAGTGGCAAAACACACAACTGTCGGTGACACAACAAGCGCTAAATCAAATTGCGTTGCCTCCAGTAGTAAATACTCATGGCTACATATATTTTTTATGAAATTTTAATAACTTTGACATGTGCAGAGACAAGCTGGAAGCCGGCATATTGCCACCGTCAGCTGGCTGATACCGATTTTGGTCCTGCCGTTGAAGTGCATGTGGTCCTGGCCCGCCCCTTTGTTGTTGCTGTCTGATTTGCACGACATGAACACGCGCTGAAATAACAAATCTTTTTTAGATTTACTCACGCATTTTGGGGAGGTGGCATCAAAATATTTTTATTACAAATGCAAATATTGACGCCGAGCTTGGGGGGGCTTACTATATAGTTGTCCTGACTTGGGACCCCTTGAGGGTTTTTTGTGCGGCAAATTCGGCACTTGAGGGTGGTTGGGTGTTATAAGTGGGGTGGGTTTGGGGTACATCAGCTGTTTGGGGGTGGCGTTCAGCAGGGTTGCTCAGAGGGTACAAGGATAAAATAGTTCATTAAAGGAATACCTAACATAGATTACCCTTGAAATATGCTAAAAAAGTCTCTTTTACGGATTCAATCTCATTTTTAAACCAGAACTTCTTTAGATTTTTAATTTTTAGTTTGCTACCTTTCAATGCAACCCTGTTGGTTGTTCAAATATCCCTTTTCCCGCCAAAAAGCACTGCGCAGAAGCTCTCTTCCTCGAATTCGCCGCATCCTGTGTTGATTTGCCGCCAAAGGACTTGGCCAAAAACTCAGTCAGTGGCCAGTTACCAGAGCGGGCGCTCATCGGCACGGATTGCTGTCGCATCGGGCCAGGAAAAAAGGCCTGTCAGCCAGCAATAAATACAAAAACCACAACGAAAGCCAATTGAAACCTGTGGCCACTTGTCACACACATAGCCAAAAGTGCCAGTGACAGTTGTTTGCAACATTCTTGGCATCTGTCTCGAGTGGCAGAAGTAAAAAAAGGAAATAAAAGAAAATTAATATATATACAAAGGAAATACCGGCTGGACAGTGGAAGTCGCGTGTGCGTGTTTCGATTTTGCGGCACTACAAAAACCGATACGAAACTCCATTTATGACCGCCGTAAGTCGTAAGCCGTGAGTTGTGGGTCGTCTTGTACGTGTTTACGTTATACTTTATGTACAAAAAAAAAACCAAGGAAAAACGTGCGGCAAATTGCGGGCAACTTCTTCTTGGAGTGGGTATAGAAATCAAAAAGAAATTCCATTTTAACAAATCGATTTTGGGTGTTCTTTTTTATATTCGAGTGCGGACAGCAATATAAATAGAGCCGCGTTCCGTGGGCTGATGACAAATTAAACTGTTGGCACACAACCAAAAAAAAATCCAAAATAGCTGAAAAAAAATATCTCAACGGCGTGGGCATTAAAAAATTACGAACCGCGCGTGTTAAAAGTTTGAGCTGTTATCAACCGAAAACAAAACAACAACAACAGCAAGGACAACAAGAGTAGAACAGCATTAACAATAAACTGCGATAAAAGCAACAGCAAAATCGGGAAAAGTTTCATTATTTTGGTGGGGAAAGTGAGGAGGCGTCAAGGAGCCACAGGCACAAGGCAAATCAGGAAGGACAATGAAGGCGTCGCGGCCCGCCGGCTCATCCTGCCCTACCGCCTCTCGAGGACCTGTCCCGCCATCATCATACCGCTCCTCATCAACGGCGGACGTAGGGCGCGTGTCGAGCAAGTAAGCAAACAATAAAAACTTCTCCTTCATTCCGCTGCACGTGAAAAAAAGATATAAAAAAAACATTGAGCACAGGAAAAGCGCACACAAACACACTTAAAACAAGGAGCACACGGCAAACGGAAAAACAGAACAGAGAGAAAGCACATCGAGCGCCATTTTTAGTGGTTACGTAAACTGGAAATGCTGTCTAGTTAAGCGCCGGGGTCACCACCCAATGCCGTCCGGCTGGCTTTTTAATAAAGTTGGAAGACCTTAGTTGCCCCGACACTTTAAATATGTTCGTTTTCCGTAGCCTCAACTCCACTCAACTGCTGTTCCAGTCTGCCGCCGGCAGCCCAGAATGTCCTGGTTTGTCTGGGTTTGTCGGGGTTTTTCTGGTTTTGCCTGCCTCCTAATGATACAAATCGCACGATGAACAGTGGTTAAAAATTCACCAGGCTGTTTTGTATTCTGTGCAATTTATTTTATTAGCCTAAGGTCTGCAGTCTAGCTTTTGGCGATTAAGATAAACTTAAGGGACTTTGCTTCGGTAGAGCATCCAAGTTAATAGTGTAAGGGGATAAGATTTGTCTACCAAGTTCAGCAAAAGACAATTTTGTGGCAATCTTGATGAGTTTTATTAGAATACAACCAAACTTGTATTAGATTTTCATTTGTCATCAAATTAAAAAGGATCAAAATTAGGGATTAGGAAGAAAAGTATATTAAAGGTAGCCGGCTAATTATTTTTCTTGTATTTTATTTTCATATATTTAATAGAACAATAAAAGTGTATAATTCCTAGACAAATTATAAAGTTGCATACTTAAACAAAAAATAATATATCTAATTTATTTTTTGGTTACATTAAAATCTTCACATTAATGCTAGTTAGAGATCTCCACACACAAAAAGTTATGAGTAAAATTACCAATACTAAGTAACGTAACTATGAAAAAAGGTAAACCAACTATTCAAAATAATAGTAAATAGTTAATAGTAAAACTACCATAAAATACTAAGTTGTGTGTATTTTGTTGTTGTGAGAGTAGCTATTTTATTGGTCAAATTGACAATTCGATAAACTATTATATTGGTCAATTTGACCCAATAGTTTTTTTATGCAGTAATGTTTATCAAAGAATCCAGTTTTTACTACTTGAGTATGTGCAAGTCCATTAAATGTTCCGTAAAGGCATAAATTTATAGATCTCTCCCGATGATTTCTCAGACTTTAAAAAGAATATATACAATTTTCCTTTTCTGTTCACACCATTTGCCCTCGCAATTTGTGCGAAACACATTTATTGCTCTAATTTGAAATGCAGTAAGACATTGTGCACGTGCACAATATCATTCTCCCCGACTTGATGCGCTTTCATATCAATTTTTTCGCAACTGACAAATATCCGTGCCGCCTGCCTGCTGCACAATGATTTTTCATTGCATTTCAGAAACACAATTTCCTCTCGTTAGTTTTCCCATTCCCGTATCACAGTGCAGATAGCCATTTGCCGCCAGCTGAGTTCATCCAGTGACCTGGCTGCTTCTGATGCTCCTGTTCCTGCTCCTGCTCCTGCTGGTGGGTCAGGTAGGGATGCCATTTGGCATTTGCCACTTGATTCGCTTAGCCGGCGGCTCTGACCCTTTCCCATTCCCATTCTCATGCCCATCCAATCCCACCGAGTGGCTCACCTTTGGCCACCAGCCTTTGGCCTTTTTTCGCATTCGTGAATGGGCTGACTGCCACTTTTGCCTTTTGCGAAGGCGAAGGCGACTGGCCTTCCACCTGAGTCTGGCTATCGATTTTCTCGACCTGCGATTTGCACCTACGAGTCGAGTGCACCTGCATTTAATTGAAATTCGGCCAGGCCGCCGTTCGAATCAAATTTAGCAAAAGCCCCAAAGTTCTCTGCCGATTGCCTGAGAACTCTGTGCTCGTTCTGTGAGTTGCACAAACTTTTTGCTCGGCCCCTAAACTTGGCTCAGATGGGAAAACATTTTAGTATATTGAAAATATAAAAGGAATGCGTTGCACTGAGTTCAGAGAAATCTCAAGTGATTTGAAGCATGATTGTTCGGCTTCAACAAACATTTTAGAACTGCCTTAAGACGTTTCCGTTCTGACCAAAAATAATAGTAGGAATATTCTTGAGTGTTTAAGACGAAACTTATTATTTGATAACTATCAAGGACTTAACTTCTTTCTTCGAATTTTCCACCACAAATTTATGTGATTTATAACTATAGTTAGTTATTTTTGTGCTTTTAGTTTCAGTTCTGGGAATAGCTAGACAATAATTTGTAATAAATTTAAAGATACTTCATAAGTTGATGGGCGGAAACATAATATTTTCTAACATTTATATATGTTTTTTTATAGAACAGATACACAATTTAAGCTTTTTTACCTTAACATAAAGTCTGTTTCTGAAGCCAATTTCAAGAACTTGGTTCTCTCAGACCAAATGGAATTTAAGGATGTTTTTTCCCCAGTGTAGTAGTGAACTGAAATGACATACGGTCCGACCCACACGTACAGGCGCCGACAGATAGACTGCTGGATGGAGACAGAGGACTACTGACAGACCGCCAGACAGACGCAGATTGTCATGCACAAATTGAAACTTTTCAAGTTACGCTCGAAAAAGTTTGAATTCAACTAATTCAGTCGAGTTTCAGATTGTTTAGTCATACATGCGTTCGTGTATGGATGTTTTATTTGCTGGAAACTTTCGAATGGTTTCGAGTTCAGGGGATTCGCATACTGAATCGGATGCTGATGCTGTTTCTGAATCTGTTTCTGTGCACAGACCGTTACCCATGCCGAATGAAAGACAATATGCCCCGCCCGACACGGCTAATGCCCTTAAAGCCGGCAAATATTTGCGCATAAATGTTTTAAATGTAAATGCCTCCATCTATTCTGCAAAATATCTCATCAGTCCCGCCCCTCGAAAACCCCGGGCGGCATCTCGAATGTCTCTCGATAAATGGCTGGATAAATGATAAATAGAATGAATGCCTTGAGGCATTTAGGCATGCCATTGTTGTTCTTGCCGGCACTGCGATTGGCGTGTCTGTTTGGATTTAGCCATAAGCTAATAAAATTCATAGCTGGCATAATGATGCGATTTGTACCCGATTTCAATGCTGGCTGGCAAACGCTATTGTCGCCCGAGATGGAAAATTTAATTAAAGAATGTCGTCAATGTGGCAGAAGAAACATTTGGTATATTGGCAAAAATCATTGCCAATGACACTTTGTATTCGATTTTCAATTATCCACATTGTTTTCCAGATTGCCTTTAATGGCTTTTATTAACCACAAATTGTTCGCACTTTGTTGCAAGTTTTTGTCAACGAATTCTCGTCTGCGATGACCACAAGTCTGGTATTTCATATTGCGCACCATTCCGGGCTGTCTGTCCATCCAATCGATGAAAAGTTTAATAAAAACATGTCAACTGCAAAAATCGAAGCAGAATAATCGAGTGCAAAGGAACCACAAAAAGCAATCTGAACAGCAAGAGGACTTAATTCGAAAAAGTGTTTCTCGACCCTCCTCTCCGGGCAATCAGTTAAGCAAATATTTACAACCGAAGCCGGAAATACGCTTAAGAAAGCATTTAAATCAGTTTCGCATTTCGCATTTCCCCCGAGCACTCGACTGGAAATGGAAATGGAAATGCGCCGTCCTTTCTACGTATTTTATTGCCCACTAAATGCCATGAATGATATTTGCCTTTGACTTAACTCTCGCAGCGGCAACAACAAAAGTTGCAAATTAATAATATTAGTGCCGGGGATTCCCCTTTGCTCCTTTGGCGGTTGTTAGTGGGCAAGGACACAATGGCGGATTGGCGGCTCAACGCTTTTCTCATTAGGACAACTTCCGGCGGAGCTGGGGCAGAAATGCCCAAGATGCCACAACTCACGGGCCAACGGCCAATGCCAGTGTTTATGTCATTAAGTGGTGCTCGACATCCCGGGACATCTGGGCGAGTCTGCACGGAAGAGTGTGTCAAAGTGCCCGGGCACCCTCCTCGAGTCCCCAGGAATTGTTCCATTTGTGTTTCGCCCTTCGCAACGGATTATTGTTTATAATATTGTAATGTGGCAAAGCCAAATAAAGTGGAGTGCTGGCGATGCAGGACGAGGGTCAACAAAAAAGTCAGGACTAGAGAAAAGTTTTGGACAAAGAAATAACAAACAAAAAGATTTTCTAATTTTGTTTTTACTGAAAGAAATATTCTATAATGTATTTTTTTAAAACCCAAGTATTTTAGAGAATTATGCAATTTCAACACTTCTTTTATTTTCCTCTTACAAAAAACTTTGTTAGTAATTTCTAACATTTTAAAGAACCGTTCTTATAAGTATATACATTGAAGTAGATTTTCCTATTTATGATAAAGGAAGTAAAGACACACAAATAGTTAGCGCTGAAAATAGCAAACTAATACTTAATAATATGCTAATAATAATTCATAATTAAGGTCTAAGTCTTAAAAGCGTTAAATTCCAAAATCACTTAGCCTTTGAACCATGACCTACATTCCAGAAACGTACATTCCCGTAAGAGGATTGTATGCATGTTAAGGATTAGGGAAAACAAATCTCTGAAAAATACCCCGCAGCAGTTCAAAGTCACTTAGCAAATGAGTACACTCAGCAGCGAGTTAACTTTTCGGGCGACCCTCTTTTCCAGAGCTTCTTAAGTATCCTTCATTCGACATGTTTACTTTGCACTCGCCCTACTCCCCGACAGCCACCCCTCACAGCATTGCAAGAGTCTCCACTTTACTGTACACTACACCGAAAAAAATATCAAGTCAATTATAAAAACAAAAAACATCATTAAGAATATTTGACACCAGGATTAAGTAGGTAAATCTAAATAAGTTATGTACATTGAACATCGATACTTCTTTAGTCAAAATTTGATCTCTTTATATGAAATAAGCTAAACAGTTTCTGACAAAATTGTTAATAGAACTAACTACCAATGATAATTT